ACAATCAATATGTAATACAATTTACGTATATTAATTTATTAAAAGTGTTATACGAATTTTAAATTGTGCAAAATTACATAAACATGTCTATTTATAATTAGTACATAACCGTTAAGGTACACGTGACTGATAATAAATTACGTTATATTCATTCAAAATAAGTGTCATTTTAAAATTTTTATTCAAAATTTCAATTCGCCTTCAATGTGCTTCCACAAAATAATTATTTTGCTAAGTTTTTATTATATATTTAAAAATATATGTAAATAATAAGTAAAATTATAAAACTTATATTTTTTTTCATTATTAAAATTAATTTAGTTTTGTATAAACTATCTAAATAAAAGAATAAATTGTTTTATACTATAAATAACTGCGACTATTTCATTTACGTCAAAGTTATAATATTGGCCTCTAAGTTATGAATAATTACATATATTTGATTTTTAAATTCAGAATCCAAATTTGGACTACACAATAGATTTCCTAACATATATATATATATATATAATTCTCTTTTGGCTGCCTTATTGTTCAAATTTATCAATTAATTCTCTATAGAATTAGTTATGAATTTTAAATTTTATTAACTGATATTTTGTTCAAACATCTTTTTGATTTTCAAGAGGAATACATATCAATTTGCGGAGTTATCACCAGTATCTTATGCCAAGTTATTATGGAAATATGTTGAAATTTTAGAATCATACCACCTTGATTTTATACCAAATCAACCTAAAATCGACTTTCATATTCATGCCACTTATTATGTTTTCAAAATTTTCAAATACAATTTTATCCATACCAAATTCATACCATTTAAATACGTACATTTCATACCAAAAGAAAATCGCCGAATTTATACCATAAAATCAGACATTTATTAATAACAACACATTTCCTACCAAAAAATAAAAATGATTATCATATACCTAAATAAAATCGCCCACTTTTGTACCAAAATCGAATTTATTAACAACTTTATACCATAAATCGAGTAATTAATTTTTAGAGACGGGATTAATTGAATTTAAAAAAAAATATTATCACTCATGATCCGATGTCAACTCCCTAGTGAGACAATCAGACTTTGCTTTGACTTGAAAACTGATCGATAGGCATGCCTCGTGGTGCATTCATCATCTGGCCCTTTGATCGTCAGATCTGTCAAAGATCTAATAATGTGAAGTCATAAGGTCAGGTAGAGACAGACTGAGACTACCAATCACTTAACTGTGGAAGGAGGTGGAGAAGAAAAATTCTTCCACATTTCCATTTTGTCTGGTATGATCATAAATGGATTGAGACCCGGAAAGCATTGGTTCGATCTCGACATTTATTAGTTTTACAAATTTTAGGCAGAATTTTAGTGTCCATTTCAGATAAATACAAATATTTGTATATGCATACATATATAGATAAAGATCGGGGGCTATTTTTATTCAGTTATTCTCAAAACTCCTCAAAGCATTCTTGTGTGAACCCGCGACATATATATGTTGTGTTGGGTAGCTGAAAGCCTGAAAATTTTCAGCAGCAACACATTCAAAATTCAAAGTCCAACTACAAAATTCCATTTCTTTCCAAGTTTCTTCACCAATAATGCATGCACCTAATTCCCCAAAACCCATCTTTTTGTATGTATTATTTTTCGTTTTTCTTATATAAACCAGCAGTTAGCAACATCATCGATCATCTATCTTCCTCGTTTAGTACCCTTCACGTCTGACCAACCTTGGTCCAACTTTCAACCTGATGCCGTCAGCCCACTCAGCGCCCACGTTCAGCTTTGTGCGACCGTTCTTGGTCCATCCAAAACTTCAGTAGCCGCTCAGCCCCTCTAGCTGGAGACTGGCCCCTCACAGTCATGTGTAGCCGCCCCAAACAGATTTCTGGTCGTCCGTTTAGCCGGTCAGTAGGCATAGAAGCAATTCCCGCCATCAAGTCCAAACTTCCTGCAACTGGGTACCATAGCAACTTTTAGGCGTTCGACATAGCACCATAGCACCATAGAATACAAGACTTCTTTGTTAGCTTCACGTCGGTCCCAACGTTTGCTCCTTGCGTGCCGCAAGCCGCCAACGGAAAACTAAGTAGCCTCCTGCCATTTGCTTGTTCGCCACCAATGGCAGCCGATGGACGTGTTTAGTAATGAAGAGTGTTGGGCGTGTTTAGTAATGAAGAGTCTGTTGGTAATGTAAATATATAGATTCTAATATATAATAGATGTATTAAAATAAATCTTCATGTGATTGTTTCCTTGAAAAAATAATTTTTTCCTAAAATTTTCAAAACAGATTTAGGCGGGATAATTTGAATTTTTTTAAACAAAATTACTTATTTTTGAAATTCTAGGCGGGATTTCATCTGCTTTTTTAGTAAATGGCAAATGCCAAACATTTTTATATAAATCTATTAATATGACATTGTTAAAAAAAAAAAAACTTAATTTAGACATTCACAAAAGAAAAAGAAAGAGAAAAGTATTTAATTAAAAAAATTAACAAAAAAATGTTATAAATCAAAGTAAACAAAAAAACTAAACCAAACAAAAAAATTAAAAAACTTAAAGATTAAATTAAACTTGACATATCTTTAACTTCCAAATACACGATTTTATTTGAACTAATCGTTATTGTAACATAAAAAATAAATAAATAAATAAATAAAAGAACCCCACTCAGTTTAATCTTCACATATCTTTCGAAAATTACTCCAATTTACAATTATAGACTTGTCAACGCATTTCATGATTAACTTCACAAATGGATACTTAATTTTTTTTTTATTTTTTTTTTGGGTACAA